TCCAGGAAAGTTAGAATGAACTTGTGACTTAGAAATTATGTAATCACTTAATCACAATCAAAAAAAGAAACTTCAGGGAAGGGAGGGAGGGAGGGGATGGTAGGGGGAAAACAATGGAGGGGCTACCAATGTTCAAGAGGAAGTGTACTCATTACCTCACTCATGTAACTGTAACCCTCTGTATAGTATCTTTACAATAAAAAATTAAAAAAAGAAAAATAAGCAAATATAAAAGGACAATGCCATGTGATTCTACTTATATAAAATACCTAGGTTAAGTCAAAACTGTAAAAATTGTGATAGAATTGTGCTTGTTAATGACTAGTGAAGGGATGTTTTAGTGAATGGAAATTTTTTAACAGATACATAGCTTTAGTTCAGGCAGATGTAAAAAGTTCCAAAGATGGGGACTGGGAAGGTGGCTCAGTGGTAGTGTGTTTGCCTTGCATGCATGAAACCCTGGGTTCGATTCCTTAGCACCACATAAGCAGAAAAGGCTGGAAGTGGCTCTGTGGCTCAAGTGGTAGTACTAGCCTTGAGCTGAAGAGCTGAGGGACAGTGCTCAGGCCCAGAGTTCAGGCCCCACAACTAACAAAAAAAATTTTTTTAAGTTCCAAAGATGGTTAATGGTGATGGGTGACAAACAATGTGAGTGTTCTTAACATCACTGAACTATACATTCAAAAATGGTTAAAATATCTCTCTCTGCTCTTTTCTAGCTCTTTCTCAGCTCTTTCCTTCTCTTCTCTTCCCCAGCTCTCCGCTCTTTTCTAGCTCTTTCTCAGCTCTTTCCTTCTCTTCTCTTTCCTAGCTCCCTTCTCTTTTCTAGCTCTCTCTCTGCTCTTTTCTAGCTCTTCCCTAGCTCTTCTCTTTTCTAGCTACTTTCTCTCTTTTCTAGCTCTCTCTTAGCTCTTTTCCCCAGCTCTCTCTCTCTTTCTCTCTCTCTTTCCCAGCTCTCTCTTTCCCAGGCCTTTCCCCACTGTGTGGAAGACCAAGATGGCCTGGTGCCAGCCTGAACGATGACTAAACCTACCCCTTACTGGAAAAAAAAAATGGTTAAAATAGTAAGTTTATGTTACATATATTTTAAACACAATAATAAGAGAAAAAACAAAGTGAAGGTTTTTTCAGACATACAAAAGCCCAAAGAATTCATCATCATTCTCATACAACATTTCAAGTTAAAGAAAAAAACAAATGAGAAGGGGAAACAAAGGAGGAGGCAACAATGCTTGATAAGAAATGTACTCATTGCCTTGCCCATAGCTCACACCTATAATCTACCTACTCAGAAGGCTGCAATATAAGGATCGAAGTTTGAAGCTTGAACACTAATGTCCATGATTCTTATTATCTCCAGTTAACTAGCAAAAAAAACAGGTGGGGATGTGGCTCAAGTGGCAGAGCACTAGCCATAAGCACAAAAAGGGACAGTGCCCAGGCCCTGAGTTCAACGTTCAAGTTTTAGGCCCAGTGGGCACGCACACACACATGCACACACACATTTACTTTCTAATGTATATTACATATATATCATACTATATCTCATATATATTTCACTTTGTATTAACAGACTAGAAATACTATATCAATTTCAACAGATACACATAGAAATAGTATATAAATTTCAGCAGAAATGTATATACACAGGAAGTATTTAATAAAACCCATAATTTGTTCCTGCTAACATCCTTAAGCCAAATACTTTGGGGAAGAAATCGAACAGTTTCTTATAAAGTTAAACAAACACCTATGACATGTATTTAGTGCGCTCAGAGGTATTTACCAAAAAGAAACAAAAATATCTTACCATACAAAGATTTGTACACAAATACTGATGAATGTTTATAGTAACTACAACATAAAACAGATTTCAAACAAATATTACAAAATATGTAACAATACGAAACATTCAGCTATAAAAAGTGAACTTTTGGTAGGTGCCAGCACTCACACCTGTAATCCTAGCTCTCAGGAGGCTGAGGTCTGAGGATCGTAGTTCAAAGCCAGCCCAGGCAGGAAAGTCTGTGAGACTCTCATCTCCAATTAATCACAGAAAAAGTAGGAAGTGGTGCTAAGGCTCCAGTAGTAGAGCACTACTAGCCTTGAGCAAAAGAGCTCAGGGACAGTGCTCAGGCCCAGCATTCAAGCCCCAGGATCGGTCCAAAACAAAAAACAATAAACAAAAAGGGAACTCTTTTTACATGCAACAACATGGATGAATCTCAAAATAACTGAGTGAAGACAAACCAAAAAAAAAAAGAAAGAAAGAAAGAAAAGAAAAGGTTCATACTGTATGGTTCCATTTATAATTCTACAAAATTAAACTAATCTTATAACTGCAGGAAGCCTAAGCGCAGGGAATAGGAAGGAGGAAAGAGCACAAAAGAGCATTTTAATTTGAATGTTGATGATCTCAGAGACAAAAGTGTCTTCAAAAGCCACAAAAAACTGTAAGATTTAATTAGGCCCCATTTATCTTAACCTCAAAAGAAGCTATTAAGCCAGGCATGGTGGCTACTTGGGAAGCTCAGGCAGAAGAATCTTGAGTTGTGCCAAACAGGGCAAGACTCTACCTCAAAATAAAACTTTTTTTTAAAAGCTGAAGAAGATCGGCCACATTGAGAATTTGAACAACAATAAATGCTGGTGGAGATAAGGGAAAAAAAACAACAACAACAAAACCCTATTGCACTGTTAGTGGGAAAGTAAGCAAGTATAACCACTCTGGATGACAGTTTGGAGGTTCCTCAAAAAGCTAAACTAAACATAGACCTTCCCTATGATCCAGCCATACCACTCCAGCATCTACCCAGAATATTTCAAGTCAGGATACAATAAAGACACTCACGAATCATGGTCATTGGTGGACTCACTATTCATAATAGCCAAATAATGGAAACAGCTTAGATGTCCAAAACAAATGAGTGTTCAAGAAAATGTGGCACATATACACAATGGAATTTTACTTATCCATTAGAGAGAATATTATGTCATTCTAGGGAAATGGATAGACAAATCATGTTATGAGGTAAGCCAAGCTCAGATAGACAACACCACATGTTCTCTCTTGCCTGTGGAAGCTGGATCTAAAATGTAACTAAACATGATAGCTTAAATGGAACTTGATGCATTTATACACAAAGAAATGTACTAAAGGAGAACATATTCAGGGAAGAACCCAAAGGCATAACTCTTCTGAACATTTGAAGTACTATTTATCAAAACAAATTCCAAAAATGGAAACATGTTTTTGTTTTGCTTTTCCTTTGTTGGCAGGGGTGGGGCAGGGTGGGAACACATAGGGGGTACAGGAATGGAGGGAAGAAGGGTAAACGAATGCAGTCACTGTAATTCAATATACACTGTAAAAATCAAACTATGTAACTTGTGGGTAGGGATGAGAAAAGGAAAATGGAGGACACTGAAGGAAGGGACATTTATACTCCTAACCTGACAATAGAAAATTGTTACCCTGTACAATTCCTTAAAACAATAAAAAATAAAAATAAAAAGCCAGAGATATAATTCAATGACAGAGCAATTTGTTAGCATGCATGAGGCCTTGGATTCAGTCCCCTATTTTACACACCTGCATGCACACACACACACACATGCATGTACACATGCATACACATATAAAAAAGTGGTAACAGCTACACAACCTAAATATACTTCATGTGACTGATCTGTTTACTTAAAATGGTAAATTTGGTCATGTTTATTTTACTACAATTTTTAAAAGGTATTTAGCAAAAAAAAAAGAGGGGGATGGGGATGTGCCTTAGTGGTAGAGTGCTTGCCTAGCATACATGAAGCCTTGTGTTCAATTCCTCAGAATCACATAAAAAGAAAAGGCCAGAAGTGGCGCTGTGGGTCAAGTAGTAGAGTGCTAGCCTTAAGCAAAAGCAGCTCAGGGATAGTGCCCAGGCCCTGAGTTCAAGCCCCAGGATTGGGGAAAAAAAAAAAAAAAAAAAGTCCATACCTGTAATTCAGAAAGATCACACCGTTTGAGGCTAAATTAGGCTAGATAGTGAGACCTTGTCTCAAAAACAAAAAATAAAAAGGTTTGTTGAACTAAAAGTAAATATAATAATGAATATAAATCAATTTTTAAAAATGAGTATGGAATCCCTATTTCCAAGCTATGTACAGTCACTGAATTACATTTTAGTCAGTGGTACAATGTGGTACATCAGTGCTCCACTAAGATTGCAAGAGCTGATGTATGGCTCAAGTGGTAAATCATTCACCCAGCAAGTACAAGGCCCAGATCTAACTCTTGGTAACACTCTCCCACAAGAGAGACAGACAGAGAAAATTCTAATTAATTTAGCCAGGCACTAGTGGCTCACATGTATCATCCTAGCTACTTAGGAGGCTGAGATTTGAAGATCATGGTTTGAAGCCAGCCCAGGCAGACAAATCCAAGACTCTTATCTTCAATTAGCCAGCAAAAAACTGAAGTAAAGGTGTGGTCCAAGTAGAAGAGTGCCATCCATGAGCAAAAAAGGCCAAACAAGAGAATAAAGCAAACAAGAACCCCTATGCCTAGTGATGTCACAATGTCCTAACATTTTATATATATATATATATATACACACACACACACACACATTTGTATGTATATTCACATATATAGGTGAAAATATATATATTGTAATTCCAATTGTAAGGGTAGCATATACAACTTTTTATGTTACATAGTATTTGATGATAGCAGACCATTACGTTATTGGACTATGTATTCGCTATATTATACACTTTATCATTATTAAGAATGTACTTATTAAAAATAAAAATCTGTAAAACAAGGATGCCATCAAACCAGTACCAGCCTCATACAGCTTAGTTTAATTGCATCAAGAGAGCAAGGCTGATCACTCATCTTGCCTGAGATTTCCCAGATTTCCCATTGTCACTATGCAATTTGAGACTGTTGCTCAGACATATGCTGCCATTTAAGTATATATGAATTTAAAGGTTTTTACAAGCTGTACCTGTGAGATATGATTGATAGAAGACTCCATTCTCCGAAGCTGAGAGGCTTGGATATCCAGCAACTGCAATACATTGTTGGCCAATGCATTTATTTGATAAGCAACACTAGCTAAAGATTGGGTTGTATATGCTTTGGTCTCTTCTAAAGCTTTTCTCTTGTCTGTAGCCTAAAAAAAAAACAGAAACAATACTTATTTCCGTTAACATTCTTTAAATACATTCTACAGAAAAGCAAAATTATGACCTGGGAATGTGGCTAAGTGGTAGAGTGCTTGCCTAGCATGCATGAAGCCCTGGGTTCAATTCTTCAGTACCACATAAACAGAAAAGGCCAGAAGTGGTGCTGGGGCTCAAGTGTTAGAGTGGTAGCCTTGAGTACAGGGATGGTGCCCAGGCCCAGAGTTCAAGCCCCCAGTACTGGTTAAAAAAAAAAAAACTCAACTCAATTAAAAATGTTTTGTACAAAGCTGAGGATAGTCTCATTAAGTTTACAGACAGGTAACTTTTTTTGGTGGGTCAGTACTTGGGCTTGAACTCAGGACCTGGGTACTGTCCCAGCGCTTTTTGAATCAAGGCTAGCAATCTATCACTTTGAGCCACGGTGCCACTTCTGGTTTTCTGGTGATTAACTGGAGATTAAAAGTCTCCCAGAGATTCCTGCATGAGCTGAGTTTGAACCGTAATCCTCAGATCTCAGCCTCCTGAGAAGCTAGGATTATAGGCATGAGCCACCAGCAACAATTGATTTTTTAAATGACTTTGTAACTCTAAAAACTGCTAAACTCGCTTATTAACTTTAGTCACTTTTTTTTGGGGGGGTGGTCCAGTCGTGGGGCCTGAACTCTGGGCCTGGGCGCTGTCCCTCAGCTCTTCAGCTCAAGGCTAGTGCTCTATCAGCTGAAGCCACAGCACCACTTCCGGCTTTTTTCTTTTTGCTTATGAGGTGCTGAGGAATTGAGCCCAGGGCCTCAGGCATGCAAGGCAAGTGCTCTACCACTGAGCCACCTTCCCAGCCCACTTCAGTCACTTTTTGTGAATTCCTTTTAGTCATACTGTGACTAAGCTCAATTTTACTTTTTTTCTTTCCTATCAGTATGTCCTCTTTTTTATTCTTGCTCTATTGTAGTGACAGAAACTCTAGTACAGTGCTGAATAAAAAGTTGCTCCCAACAGTAGAGGGAAAGCATTCTTTTATCAGTAAAATACAGGATATAGGCTAAAGATACAGCTCAGTACAACACTTGCCTAGCATGTACAAGGCCCCAAGTCTGATACCCAGCACCACAAAAAGCAAAAATCTTAAAACCCCACAAAATATAGGTTTAATACAAGTGTCTTTTAAGAGACTACTGGAACTACCCTTCTAAGTTTGCTTAAAAAGCTAGTTAAGTTTAATCTTTAATAAGATTTGGTTATTTTCAGCCACCTATCTTATTCTAGAAATTCATTAGCCTGTTTTTATAGTTTCAGGTATGTTTCACACATGTATCAATGGAAAAAGCTAGAAGTTGCTTGGGAGGCTAAGACTGGATAATCAAAAGGTTGAACTCAGAAGGTGTAGAGATTAAGATCAAAGCCAGTAGAACATCTACACGGAGAGGCACTGTCATCCCCACAGGAAAAAAAAAAGAGAAAATACAGCTTTGAACTGAAATCTATTTATTTCTCCTTATGTTTCCCAAATTCCCTTATTTCATAATTATTTAGCCAAGTATTACCTATAAAATGTTAGCAGAAACAGTTCTACTTATAGACCTCAACATAAAAAACAAAGTTTAACCAAACACAATACTGTATACTTCCTATTTTTTTAATTTAAAATATTTAAGACTAGGGGCTGGAAAGGTGACTCAGTGGTAGAGTGCTTGCCTTGCATGCATGAGGCCCTGGGTTCAATTCCTCAGAACCACAAAAGCAGAAAAAGCCAGAAGTGGCACTGTGGCTCAAGTGGTAGAGCGCTAACCTTGAGCTGAAGAACTGAGGGACAACACCCAGGCCCTGAGTTTAGGCTCCACAACCAACCAAAAAAAAAAAAAATTAAGAGTAAATAAAAACTTAAAAGTTCATTTTCTCAGTTAGAATGAACTTGTGACTTTAAATGAGCATCATTATTCCACAATACTGTGAAATTCGGGAAATTTTGTAATCACTTAATCACAATTAAAAAAAAAACCTCAGGGAAGGGAGGGAAGGGAGGGAAGGGATGGTAGGGGGAAACAATGGAGGGGGTAACAATGCTCAATAGGAAGTGTACTCATTACCTTACTCATGTAACTGTAACCCTCTGTATAGTATCTTTACAATAAAAAATAAAAAAATATTAAAAAATAACTACATACAAGGAAAAAGATATATCACACAAAAAGAAGGTTCAGTCATGTCCTCCTCTAGCCCTACCTCAGGATGGAGGGGGCTATTACTAAAATCTCCTAGAATTGAAATACATCTAAATTTATTTTCTCTGCAATGAGACTTGAATGATGAACTGCATCATATGCATGGAAGAAACTGTTAATTTTGTGAAGCTCAAAAGAAGCACAATAATGGCACAAAAAATTAAAAGGCTTTTTTAAGTAGATCTTGTACCTGTAGAACTATATACAAGAAAAGGAACATAGCATACAAGGCTAAATAGAAAGATCTTAGTCATGTGTCCAGATTCTGGAAGCATCTCAGGCATCCAGACCTGTCTGCTTCACAAAACTGAAAAGCCAAGAAAGGAAGCCCTATGCTATTATTTTTGCTCCCTTCCCATTCTTGTTCCACTTCTTTCCTCCCTTTATTCCGCTCTTCAAACACTCTACTTCTGACGGATTCTAACCATGTTTAAACAAATAAAGCAAGAAAATAGAGTAATTTGGATTCAAAAAAAAAAGTTCATTTTCTCCTTGTTCAAAAGCCACATAAAGACTGAGACTACATTATTAAGAGAGTGCAGTTGTAGAGTTAATTTCCTCTAAGGATTCTGAATTTGAAAGTTAAATCTGGTCAAAAATTACTGTTGTCACACGATTTATGTCACACTGTAAATTTAGTATACAAGAGTTATTTTTCCTTAACATACTAAGGGTAACGCAACATGATAAAACAGCAAGCATAGCCGGCACCGGTGGCTCACGCCTGTAATCCTAGCTACTTAGGAGGCTGAGATCTGAGGATTGCGGTTCAAAGCCAGCCCGGGCAGGAAAGTCCGTGAGACTCTTATCTCCAATAAACCATCAGAAAACCGGAAGTGGCACTGTGGCTCAAGCAGTAGAGCGCTCGCCTTAAGCTGAAGAGCACAGGGACAGCGCCCACACCCAGAATTCAAACCCCACGACCGACCAAAAGAGAAAAAAGAAAAAAAAAAAGCAGCAAGCATTTCTCCAAGGAATTAAAACAAATTTTGTTAATTATACAAGTCTTCTGTGCAAAGTTCCAATACTCTTAACTAATTGCTCTAGCACTAGACATATGATGTGAAATCCATTTGCCATCATTGTCTTATGCCATTTAGTCTGCTTTAAAATGGAATTAAACACTTAGCTGTAAAAGAAAAGTCAACTATTTAAAGTAACAACTTAAAATAAACAATGTAGTCAATATTCTTAAAATAAACTAAACAGGAAGTCCCTTAGATAATTGAACTTTATGATCATCTCAAACATTAAATTAACTCTTCTTTCTCTTTATCTACCTGAAAAAATACAAGATTTTACTAAGTTGAGATCTAATAGTCTTAAGACTCTAAATCCTTTCTCACCCCAAAAGGTGAAAAACTCACAAAGTAACCTATTTACTTCCTGAAGTAAAATTACTTTTCTCTTCCACCCTTATACCTTTATTTCAAATTATGATTATTTACTACTGCCTTTCCTCTCTTTCACTTACTTCAATCTTCATATATTACAATAGGGAAAAAAATCTTTCTCTTTATTTTTTTTTTTGTCTTTTCTTTTTTGGTACTGGGGATCGAACCGAGGACATTGTGCTTGCTAGGCAAGCACTTTGCCACTGAGCTACATCCCAGCCCTCTTTCTCTTTATTATATGTAAATACTTGTTATCAAAAAAGAAAACACCCTTGTCATAATTGTGATCTAAAAAGTTAGACAAGTTGGGAGTGCTATCAAAGCTGAGACACTAAGACAAGAGTTCTTGGGCCAAGCTGGGCTATATAACCAATAGTTGCAGAAAAACAAACAATAACAAAAATACTATACGCTCTTCAATGTTTCCTGTTTCTGACAATAAATGTGTTAACTGTAAAACAGAAATAGAGAAATCCATAAGGGATGATATAGCATTAAAAAGAAAGCAAGCAATTCTCTGGAATGTTATTGTACATGCATAATCCCAGCTTGAAGACAGAAGTTAGGTGAAATAAGTATGAGGCCATTCTCAACTACAAAAAGAATTACAAGCCAATCTGGAACTAAAACTGGTCAGTCTACATATCAATGCCCAGAACCTGAGTTCAAATCCCAGATTCAGCATTAACCCCCCCAAAAGTATAATCCTGATAACACAAGCAAACACAGTTCATCCAGTCCCAGAGATTGAGGGTTTGTGGGGAAAGAATGACCTAGAAAGCCTTCCAGGCTTGTGTGACAATAATATTAAATTGTTCTTTCCTTAAAGCTCTTATGATCAAGGAAGCTATGCTACAAGAAAAGTCATTCTCAAGGGATCTTTTGGAAGGCTGTTCAAATTTAAACAATACATCTAGGGAAATGAATGAATGTGGGAAGAACATAAAATTAAAAAAAAAAAGTTAGCTCAAGACAAGCACCAGTAGCTCACGCCTATAATTCTAGCTACTCAGGAAGCTGAAATATGAAGATTACAGTTCAAAAACAGCCCAGGCAGCCAAGTCTGTGACTCTTATCTCTCTGATTAACCACCAAAAAGCCTTAAGTGGAGATGTGACCCAAACAGTAGAGTGCTAGCTTTGAGCAAAAAAAGCTCAAGGACAGTACCCAGGCCATGAGTGCAAGCCCCAGGACCTGCACCCCCCCAAAAAAAATTCATATACTTTTATAACCTTTATGGAAAGACCAATTAAAATATACTAACTTATCTCAAATATAGTACACTTTGGGGGGGGGATGAAGAGGGGCCGCTGGTCCTGGGAC